ACTTAGGCTTGTTTTTTTCATTTCAGCTACATTTCAGCATGTTTTTATGCTAATTCAGCTGTTTTTAGCTAATTTGTGCTGTTTTTCAGCAGGTTCTTCAACAATAAGCATTCACACTGCATTTTCCCAGGAAATGCAATTTTTCTAGTTATTATTTATTCAAAGTTCCTTGATGTTATTTCAAAGTATGAGTTAATCATAGACGCCCCCTGTGCTTGTACATGAAGCTGTTCATCATCAGATTTATGGTTTAGTTTTGTGAGTCTAAACGGTTTTCACGTTTTATGTCCACCTTTCTCTTTCTGTCGCTGACATCTTGTTTCTCTCTTTTTCTGTCAGATCTATGAAAGTATGTCAGTGATTTCTCATGGGAACCCATAAAAAAACTACATAATTTTTCCTGCGAGGGTATTGCTGTCACATCCCATCTTGTCATACTATAGTATGAAACCTCAGTGGACAGCGTTGCTTGTATTTCTGAGGCAGTAACTGCCTTTCACAGTTGCACACAGAAGATGTACACAGTGGACGAACTGTGTTTGTTCCCTTTAATGTGCCAACAGTTGTAAGAACATTGTAAACATTTAATAAAACCCATTTAAATGTTCTGCACTTGAATTTTTTTAAAAGTACACAAAGAGTCAATATAACCTCTTTGACTTATATTGTTTTCATGTTGTGGCTTTTACTTACTAGCATCATAATCATCATGTCTTTTTGTTTTTTTTTGCTTGTTTTGTTTTTTGTTTTGGCGCATAAACTAAATTTATTTTATTTGGCTCATTTCGAAAGGGAAAAAAAAATCCTGTGTTTGTTTCTCTCCTCCAACTAAGATCATTTTCTCTTCCTGTGCTGCTGTAGTTGTAATACTCTCAGGAAGTTCAATGCTCCATCATTGATTTTATTTCCCCCAATATCACTATCATTTTTAGAATTACCGTAACTCTTAGGATACTCAAGGTAGGAAGAAAATGGTGAAGGAAGCAACACGGTGTTTTCTGAAGATAGATCTTGAGCGTGGGAGATAAAAACAAGAGCAGCACAAAAAAAAAAAAAAAAAACCCCTGTCTCTTTGTAAAAGAGCTAATATTCATGTGTGACAGTGTAATAAACATAATGATGATGGAATGATTTAATTTAAGTTGGCTTCTATATAAAATACTGGGACATTTATAGTTCTCAAAATAATAATAATAATATAAGAACTCAAAAGTTACCTTAAGTCGTTGAATGGGTTAAGTAGTAAGTCAAAATAAAGAAACTACACCACTTGTATAAAGAGCAGATTGGTCTTTGATTTAAAATTAAATGTGATTTTATTTTTATTTTTTATTGACAATGCATTTTTTTTTTAATTGAGTTTATTATTTTGAATTATATTAACTATTCACCACTGGACCAGTGTTAGACTGCCACAACACCTTTATCATATAACTGAATATGTAAATGTGTGTGCATGACCCTGCGACCCAACTCAGGAACAAGCGGAAGTGTATGGATGGATTTTATTGTATTTTGAGGTCCTCCTTTGTTTTCTATGTTTTAAGGCTAATTCTTCCAGCATATGTCACAATAACTAAGGCTGGGTCCACTTGCTAAAGATCAATTGTAAAGCAATTGAATCTGCACCTGCAGCCAGAGGCTGGGGAAAATGTTAGTGTCCATTGGATGGGCGTTTCAGATTGATGAAGCGCCCCTCAGAGGAAATTAAACTCAACTATAAAGAAGGGAGCATGTTTTATTTTACTACAGAGCAGATTTTTCATGCAGGTTTTTTTTTTTTTTTTTGTATGATTAAAACATTGCTTGCACAGCTCAATCAAAACACAAGCTCAGAGAGCTGCATCTATTTCACTGATGATTTTTCACCGTCTGAGATGTTTTCCCATATGACTCACCTCAGCACAGTCACCATCCTATAGCCTGGCAGATTCCTAGAATAGCCTTCAGTTCTGTGGATACGGTCAATAATCGTGTTTATTCCTCTGTGACGGAGATGCAGCTAAAAATACAGCAGAATATTAAAAGCACCAGGCGTCAATTAATTTTTAATCAATGCTTTAACGAGGCCTTCTCGCTGTCAAGGCCAAGCAGTCCATCAGTACACCTGATATCTGCATCATTTCACATGCCTCCTCTCATTAAACAAGCTTACTGCAGAGAGATGATGCTGAATGTTGTTAGCGTGATTAGCTGCTGTTGTTACTGAGGGAGTCGTCTTGGTAGATGTTGTTGAGCCTCTTTCCTCTGATGATAATGTTCCTCTGATGTCTCATCTTTTCTCTTCCAGTTTTAACCATCTGTTCTCATCTTATGTCCACACTTTGACCGTTTAATCTGTATAGTCATGGGGTTGAAATTATTACAGGCTTGAAATACTTTTCATGCTAATGTATAGTAGTGTTCAGCAGTAGATTTTCTGGTTAAAACACCGAAATAGACATTTCAGCTGCTTTCTGTAGTGTTCTACTGTTGTTTTCTGCAAACATATTTTTCACTGCTCAAGTTTAGACTTTTTTTATCATTGTTTCTGGGTCACAAATCTAAAATATTCCATGTTTTTGATATATTTATGTTCTGTTGCATGCTCAATAATCCAGGTAGATAAATCTAACAAAATTGAGTCAAGTCCTCTGGACGGTTTCTTCGGGGACAGTTGAACGTGGAGGCCTCTTCCCCCATTTAACGATGGGCAGGTTCTTTTCACAAAGATGGCCTCCTTTACTCCTCTCACAAACCATCGTTCCTCTTTATCAAGGATGTGAACATCTTCATCCCTGAATGCGTGACTACTGGCCTGGAGATGAGTGTAGACCACAGAGTCCTGGTCTGATGATGTTGATCTTCTGTGCTGGGCCATCCTTTTGGCCAGTGGCTGTTTAGTTTCCCCGATGTAAGACTGATCACAGCCCTCCTGACACTGAACAGCATACACAATATTACCGGTACTCTGTTTTGCCAGGGGAGTGCATCTTTGAGATGAACCAGTCTTTGCTATGATGCATTTTGGTGTTTGAAAGCTACTGGGACGTCATGTTTAGAAAATAAACGTCTCCAATTCTCTGAAACTCTCGCAACATACAAAATGACCCCTGGGTCTGGGTCTGGGTTCCTCCTTTTCACCTGATGGCTGGCTGGAGTCCTGTTTGGGTTTCTTGTCTGATTTCAGGAAGGCCCAGTTAGGATATCCACATTGCTGCAGGGCCCGTCTTATGTGGGATTTCTCCTTCCAACTTGTGCTCCAGCAGTTGATGGGAGTCAAACCACAAGTACTGGTCTGTGTGGGTGGGTTTGCGGTGCACATCAGTTTTCAATTGTCCTCCATCAGAGGCTGAGACCTCACAGTCCAAGAATGCTAACCTGCCATCTTTTACTTCTTCTCGTGTGAACTTGATGTATTTATCCACAGAGTTGATGTGGTCAGTGAAATGTTGGTCTTCCCAAGATTTAACTTTAACCCAGGTGTCGTCAACATACCTGAACCAATGACTCAGTGGTGTTCCTGAAAAGGAGGTCAAGGTTCTCTTTTCTATCACTTCCCTGTACAGATTTACAACAATAGGAGAAACTAGGGACCCCATAGCACACCCAAGTTTCTGCCTAAAATATTGCCCTCATGTTTGAAGTAGGTTGACTGCAGGTACAGTTTCAAGAATTGACACAGTTGCTCTGTGGAAAGAGTTGATCTGCTGCTCAGAGTGGTGTCTGAGCTAAACCTTAAACAGACCATCTCTACTGCCTCATCAACAGGAATGTGCGTAAAGAATGATGTGACATCAAAATGATGGATATCGAGATGGGGTAGAGGTAAGGCAGCCAACTCGGGACCCGAAAGTCCCAGGTTCGATCCCCAGCCATTCCCACAGATCGTGGTGTCTCTGAACAAGACACAATGCTCCCCGGGCGCTTACATAGCTACCCACTTGGGTGTATCCCCAGTGCGATGGGTTAAATGCAGAGACTAATTTCGCCATTGTATGGGAACATACAGTGATGACAACACATAGCACGTATTGTTATTAAAAGAGACCATTGTTTCATCAGTCTCCATGATGACATCCCTCACCTTATCCACAAAGTCCACAGAGAACCCATTCATCATTAAACAGGGACGGAGGTCTACATCTTCAACTGTCCCCATCTTACAATGCTGTTATTGATAGTATCACTCGGCTCTCTGTGAATAGGAAGCGGCCATCAAGGCACTAATGATCAATTGTTAGGCTGATGGGCCTCCTTTTGCATGTGAACAACTAGTTTTGGTTGTCACCAACAAACTAGTTGATCCACTCAGAGAAGGCTGCTTATAAGACTGTTGCAGCTCCTCAGGCTGGAGAAGTCTTTTGGATAAAAGATGAAATGTTTCAGCAAAAAGGAATCTGTCCAGAGGATCAGAGTTGTTGGATATATACAGTATATGACTTTTTTTTTTTTTTTTAACAAATTGCCATGAAACTTAGTGTGTTTGGTGCTATTTGCCTCAGGATAGTTTATCACAATATTTTTTAAAATCATAATGTGCATATTTGCATGTTAATTTAAGATGGGGATCACGTTGCACTTCTCAGAAAGCTGTTGACTTTTTAACTAGTTGAGTGTTTCGGGAAAATGAAGCAGGAGCAGACAGTGACTCAAGTATAATAATTTCTGTATGATTTTTTTTCCGTTTTCTTTGGTTTCTTTGTGTTGTTAAAAAGGAGGGAAAAAGATCCTTAAAACTTTATTATATAACTAAATGTCATTTGTATGGCTGTGTGGGAAGACAAAGCGCTTTGATAAAGTAAACAGATTATAAACATGATTACAAAGGTACCGGGAATTATTTTCCTAAGTCTGTAAAAGCAACATGAAGGTTTGCAATATGACTGGCTATTTTCTTTCTCACGAATGATATCTGTGAGGATTTCTGCAAATCATAATGTCTATAACAAGCTTTTGGACACTGATGTATTTTTCATCCTCCCTCTGTCCCGCCTCTCTCCTCTGACTCATTCATGTAGGTAGCATCGTTTCAGCACAAGGATGCCGCTGGTGAAGCGCACCATCGAGCCCAGGCACCTGTGCCACACAGTCCTGCCAAGGAACATCAAGAATGAGCTGGAGTGCGTGACCAACATCTCCTTGGCCAGCGTCATCCGTCAGCTCAGCAGCCTCAGTGAGTAATACAAGAACTTGCAAGTACAAATACATGAACTGCAGAGTTTGCAAAGGCATCCCTAATCCCTACAGAATCGTAATGTTTTAAAACGTACATGTATACTTTAATTATAGTCTATAGGATTCAGTCAGTAAAGTACAAAAATTTAGATTAATCAAATATTTTACCTCGTAGTGTTTTCTATCTGTAATGATTCCTATTGAAATATACCCATATATGAATAGAAACCCTAAAAGAAAGATTTAAAGATTTTATACCTCATCATAACCTGTGGCTGCGGTAGTCTGTTGGTCAGTGCCGCGGTCTTGTAATCCTGAGGTTGCAGGTTCGAGCCCTAGTTGTGTAGAAGACGGGAGCAGCTGGAAGAAACTTACTATACGTCATGACAAACCTGTATGGTGCTTCATTTACATAATTTGGGGTCAACCAAGATGAAGGAAAAAAAAAAACAACACATTGCTGAAAATGTGGGAATAGGTTGATTGTGTAGATAATGTGAAAAAATGGTCCTGACATAAAACATTGATTAAATTAATTATTGAGATAGACAAGCAATCTGCCAAGACATTTTAAACTGACTAACAAGCAGACCTGTTAACAATAACTAGCAGTTACCGTATTTCAATAATACAGTAATTAACTATACAACCATAAATGTAGCTCCAACTTTGATCCTCTTTTTAAATACAGTACCATAGTTTGTTTTTGTGCTTCAGGACCATGGACGTCACACGAAAGGACTATTAGATTAATAAAGCTGGATGTGTTTCAATAACAAAAAGAAGTAAACAACATAAACCAACAATAGCCAGCTGCCACTGTGACTTACTCTTATATAAAAAATATATCATTATGTGAATGTTAACCCTTCAAGGATGGACATTTTTGCTTGAATTTGATCATTTGGAAATCATTTGATCAGATACATAATCTGCATTTACTCATTAGCAGCTTCAAAACCAGAGATGAGACTAGGCAGGTAAATAAAAAACTTTAGGGGATAAATTAAAGCATGAAACCACTTCATACAAAATTATGGTTTGTGAGACATTTTAACATAGTATTAGGATTTTTTTTTTTCATAATTTGTACTCATGGTCCAATTATATACTTTATAAATTTCCTGTCATGTTTGTTTTTTTGTTTTTATTTTAACTTTAAACATTATAAAAAATATTGTGAGATGTTATATATTTTATAATTTTTGATTTCCTTCAGTACTTTAGGAATATTTATTCGGCATGCAGTACTTTCAGTGTTGCTCCTTTACCACAAAATCAATGTCAAAGGAACAGTAGTTTTTTTTTCTGTGGTATATATTAGTTAAATCAACAGAAATTAGATACTGCTACAGTTGTAAATAACACATTATGGATTTTTAAAACAGCATTTTAAAGTTAAAAACTCTATTGGAAAATACCATAAACATTGACGACAACAAAAAACCATCAATTTCAAGCTTTCACTAACTTTTATGCAAGTCCACAAAGTACTTATTAAATAATGCGTCCCTTGGAGTTTAATTTTACTGGCATAAGCTTAGATATCACAGGTCTTGTGACTAGTTGAAGACAAAAAAAAGAACTGAAACAACACATTTGCATACATGCCTAACAAATATATATATATTTATGTAGTGAACTTAACCTGATGTCAAAACTGACCAGATGGACAGGAACTGTCATTTCATTGATTTGAATCCAGAAATACAGGTTCACCCATCCTGAGACTCTCTTTCTTGAAAATCAAGTGAAAGAACACTCTCTTTTTATTATCATTACTATTTTACAAATGTTGATAATCAAAGTGTCTTAGTTCAAACCATTTTAGATGTTGCAGTGAACTAATCAATTTTATTAACTGTGAAACAGTGTAATGATTTTTTAATGCTTATGCAGAGTTAGAATTCATGTTAAGGTCTGTTACAGATTTTTATGCATTTTCTGATTTCTGTCTTTGAATGAGCAAGTGTGCGTTTTCCAAGGTCAGGAGTCGAAGCAGACATGTGTTGGAACAACTGTCTTGTTTACATCCTCTCAGACGTCAACGGAGGAGGTGGCACCTGTTTCTAAAACTCGCCAAAACAAAACTCTCTCTGTCTCTGAGAACAGTTTAATCTGTTCCATAACAATTCTTGCTGTTTTCTGACTTCTAGTAACCCCTTACATCACAAAACACACCCCTGTCTGGTTGATATTACCCAATCAGGGACGCTCAAATGAACCGGGAATAGAGCTCTTTAAAATGCCGGTACTTCCTAGTTCTCTCAGAGTCTGAAAAGTTCAGTTCGGTGAAGCTTCTGAGGAGTGCGGTGAGGCGCTGAGAAGTCGTTTGGGAGAACAGAAGTCCAGCATGATAAGGCTCCTCCGAGTTGGATTATAATATCCTCCACCTCTGAGTGGAACTTCTGAAGGACCCCACTCATGTGAAGTCTATTGCTGATGTGAGCTGGTGTCGGACGGAATCTCGTCACTACTTCGGACGAGTCACAGCCATCCTATGGAGACGCTGGACAGGTAGCGTTAACTGGACCTCCATATCTGCTGATTAATCTTCAGAAAGGTAATGAGTCAAGTTTCCTACCAAAGCGTACCGAGGAAAGCTGGGTTCTGATGGAGAGTGTCGGTTCTGGTGAACACTTCCCCTCACATACCATCTTTTACTTCTTTTAAACTTCATTTCCATCTTTAAATTCTTCTCTCAAGTAGAAATCCTTCCAGATATTTTAGAAATGTCTGTGTAAAGTGCTCATCCACCGCCGTGTGGATAATTGATCATAATTGTACAGTTTTCATTGATGTCTGCTGTTCTGCTGAAGAGTGGAAACAATCGCCGAATTGTTTCTCACTACCTGTAAAGCTGTTAATTATGTTATTTTCATATTTTGCCAAATTAATGTAAATGTTTGATGTTAAACTTTGATTCTGTAAAATAAATGACCGCATTCATTTTGATGGGTCAAAGATAAATGACGTCTCACGTTTGCATTTCATTAACATCAATGCACGTTTTATTCAGTCCAGAAAAATGAGGAATCCGTTTTAATTGATGAATATTTCGCAGCATCTGTTCATCTACATTTATATATATTTTATTTTTTTTTAAATCACATTTTGTCAAAAAGTGCTTTTATCATACCTCAATTTAGTCACAGTCTCAATTTGACTGCAGTTTATTCATATTTTGTCTCCAGTCTCAATTTTGTCTTTGAGAAAATTTGTCCAAGATAATTTTCAAATATGTCTTAACATTTCTGCGACAGGAGCGCAAGGTCCGGTGACTCGGTAAGGAGACTGCAAACCCTATCAAACGTTTGCGTCTCAGTGAGATACATCGTTCTGCTGTGAAGTTTTTAGATTATCAGTCCCAATTTACAGAAACTAACAATAATTGATGAAACAAAACCTTTCTGCATCACATAGCTTATCTTCAGTAAAACATTGAAGCAGTGAGCCTGCACCTCTCCACAGAGTTCAGTCCCTGCTCACACTTTGTTTCTGCCGCTCTCAGCAACAATATCTGCACATCTTCAAAAACTGAGAAGGCTGAGACAGAAAAGGGGCATCTGTTGGCTGTGATTGCGTTTGACAAAGGATTTGCCTTTTAAAATAAAAGGACTCACAGTAAGTGTTGTAGACTCGTAACGTCTCCCGAGTCATTTGACATGAACTATGTCTGACAGGCGCATTAAAGTAAAAAAATATTTTATTAAATTGAAATGACTCCTTGATCAATTGAGTAAACATTAGAAATCCACTTTGACAGCCAGAAGTCACCTCTCACAGGAATCAACAGTTTCTTTCACATAAATACCTTTTTTACTATGCGATTTGTTTGAACTCTTTTAAAAATAGAATAAATACTTGTGTGTTTTTGCAGGTAAATATGCAGAGGACCTTTTTGGAGAGCTGTTCAATGAGGCCCATTCCTTCTCTTTCCGGGTCAACTCTCTGCAGGAGCGGGTGGACCGCCTCTCAATCAGCGTCACACAACTGGACCCCAAAGAGGAGGAATGTGAGTGTTGTTACATCACAAACTTACACGTCCCAGTCACTCTTATTTTTTTAACAAGTCAAAATGTTGTCTACATGTAGGTTCAGTGTTGTTCTCCTGGAAGGATCAGGACAGTAAGGGGGAAAGTTTTCTAAATTCTTATTTATTAAAAAAAAGCACTGGAAATTGCTGAGCAGACACAAAATTTAAGCTTGCTTTAAAAAAATTTAAATATTTATTATAACCACACTGCATTTGACAGTACAGAATCTTCTATTACAAACAAAATAAATGATATCATGGCTAAATTTAACTTAAAATATAAACTTTGCTTTGAAACTTCATGGTATTTTTGACTCACCTATCTTGACCAACATGTTGCCATAGAATGCAATACACAAATACACAAATACAATTTTTCAACTAATAAAATTAGCACTTTCTGTGAAAATGTGTTGTGAATGCTTAGTTCATAACTATTGCTGAAATCTGTTGAAGCTAAAAATGGTCAGAGTTAAATGTAATATTACAGAAACAAAAGCTAAAATTTGCACAGTAGCTAAAACTCACAACTAACAAACTGTAGCTAAAAGCTAAACCAGCAAAATAGTAGTCAAAAGCCAAAACTAGCAAAAGAGTAAGTTAAAGCTAAAATAATAACAGCTAAAATTGAAAAACCAGCTGTAGTTACAAGCTAAAACTAACAAAACTGTTGCTGAAAGCTAAGGCCAACAAAACAGTAGCTAAATGTTAAACCAGCAACATAGTAGCTAAAAGCCAAAACTAGCAAAAAAGAAAGTAAAACCTAAAATTATAACAGCTAAAAATTAAAACCAACAGTAGCTACAAGCTAAAACTAACAAAACTGTTGCTGAAACCTAAGGCCAACAAAACAGTAGCAAAAAGCTAAACTAGAAAATTAGTAGCTAATGCTTATAATACTAAAAGAGGAGCTGTAAACAAAAAATTTTAGAACTGTAGCTAAAAGCTAGAATTATCAGAACAGTAGCTAAAAACTAAAGCAAACCAGTAGATAAAAACAAAACAAGAGAGTTTCAGTGATCTGTTTTTGAAGCGTATGAAACAATTTCAAAGCTTTTTTACAAGAATTTATTTTCCACAAAAACTGAAAATTTTCAAAAAGTTTATACTTTATAAATACTAAAAGTTATAGCTGTATTATCGAGAATGGCATAAACATGTTGACACCTGAATGGCTGAAGTAACTGAAAGTTTGCTGAAATCCGTGAAGCTTTAAAAAAACATATGGAAGAAACTATTAACTGGAAAATATTGTGTGATAGCTGACTCAGCATTTACACAATTAATCCTTAGTCACTATTCCCATACTGGAACCTTAGAACTCCACTGTAAATGTCTGTCATTTAACCATAGCAGAAGTCATTCTCCCTTTTATGGCTCTTATTAGAGGAACAGGTAGCCATAAGAATGTGCCATTATTCAGTTGTAATGGCTGTAAACCTGAGCTCCTAATAGAAACACTGTGTCAAGAGTTACATTTTGTCCAGATGCTCATTTATCTTATAAAAGTGTTTTCTTTTTGAGAGGAGTATCTTTCCCTTCTTAGTTGCGAGCAATAAAAAGAAAATGAAATAATTTGTGGTGACTGCAAGGTAAAGTCAGGTTTTCATGAGAGCGCAGATGCAGGACGACAGGATGGAGCATCTACTGGAGGCAGCAGGTGCACAGAAGAAAAAGAATCACAGCTGTATAATACCATGCTCCAAGACTGTATCGATTTCCCACGGGCCTGCGGTGTGTTTAAGGCTTTGTACAATTCCACTTTAACTGCTTCCTTGTCACTGACAGACAGTAAAATGCCTGCTCGGTTTAACTCTCTGGTTATGGCTTTTTTGTGACTCCAAGAAGAAGCTTTGTTACTTTTTTGTTTAACAAGAAGATGAATGGGCTCAAAGTTTTTGCACATTTACAAGTCTGGACTTTACCGGGATAGTTAAGATCTTTCAACCTGAAATATCAGTTTTCTTCTAGTTTCTCCTGGATCTCTCAACCATCCACATCTCCACCCTTCCTCATCTCCCAGCCTCCACATGTTAGTTGCACTGCTATCTAATTGTAGACGTCTGGTGTGCAGATCTCATCTGGTAATTGAGTCTAATGTTGCAGAGTTCGAGGGGAAAATGCACACATCCACTGACACACACACACACACACAAATACATCTTTCTGTGCTCACAAGGCTGCCTGCAGAGGATAATGCAATAATATTCATGTTTTAGATAGGTTTACTTTAGGAAAAAACACAAAGAAACTAAACATTTCATCTTTTTATTGCCTATGTAAAAGGTATACTTGCTTATTTGATGTGAAGCCATTGCGATTTCATATTTCGCCTTTCCCTGTGTCTGCGTTTGGTGCATGTGGTCCATGGCTTTATCTTTCCTCATAAATAATCCTGGCTACACCACCCCCCCCCCCCCCAATCCCCGCACTACCAACACCTCCCCATAGCCTGAAGTGTTGGCTTGAGAGACTGTGGATAAGAATCAGCTCAGTTGCAGTTTAAAAGTGCGTGGTAGTGATGGGGAGGGAGAGTTGGAGGGGAAGGGAGCGTAAGAAAGATGGAAGGATCGAGGGAAGACTGGTTAAACGGGGCACTGCAGCAAAAGCAGTGGAGTGGAAAGGGACTGTGCTGCAGAATTTTTCAGGGCTTCCTAGATTACGGACATTTCCCACTCACCTCAACTCCTCCACATTTGTTTAAAACCAAATAAAATTAATATAAAATGGGGGTGGGGTACTCAGCATCTCATCTATCGTGAGTCATTTGTAAAACTGAAAATGGTAAACTCTCTCCGAATGCTTTGACTGGTAAGAGGACTGAGTGTGGCACAAAGAGTTGTGGGAGGGCCTCAGCAGATGGTTTGTTTCCCGTAAATGCCACCCTGCATCTCTAATGCTGACCATTTCTTTACCTTTATATGGTCAGAGTGGGTGCTCTTACTGTAAGAGACTTGCTTGTAATTGCTTGTGTGAGGGTTTGTGGTTGCCATGAGAGGAGGCATGAAGGAGAGGAGGAATGAGTTTGAGCGAGGATAGGTCCATAAATCAGAACTTTGGAGGGATGGGGATAGGAGGATGGAGGTCACGTAGGATGGAGGACAATGGAGCGCACAATAACTGTTTTATAGATAGAGGCCACAAAACACTTTCAGGATCCAGGGAAGCTTTAAAGCCTTAAATGACCCAATTAAAAATTGATGTCCATCTAACAGTTTTTTTAGTCCTGGGAACAGTAACAAAACCGATCTTTACCACCTATGGCATGAGTTTAATTTATTTAATAGAGGATTCTGTCCCTAGGTGTGAGTGAGAGTGTGAATGGTTGTCTCGTTTGTCTATTTGTGTCCCTGTGATGGGCTGGAGACCTGTCCAGGGACGTCCCCCGCCTCTCACATAGGGACTGCTGGATATGGGCACCAGTGACCCCATGAAAAGGAAGAAGTAGGTAAAAAAAATGAATGGATTTAAAGTCATCCTCTGTAGAATATTAGCAGTTGTAAACCCTGAAAAAGAATGTGGCTTCTCTTCTTTTTGCATCTTCACTGGAAGTGGGATGCTGGCAGTCAAAAATATGTACAGATGCTGATCATAAAATTAGAATATCATGAAAAAGTTGATTTATTTCAGTAATTACATTCAAAAAGTGAAAGTATTATGTTCATTCATTACACACAGACTGATATATTTCAAATGTTTATTTATTTTAATATTGATGATTATAACTGACAACTAATGAAAACCCCAAATTCAGTATCTCATAAAATTATAACATTACTTAAGTCAATAAAAAATAATTTTTAGAAATGTTGGCCAGCTGAAAAGTATTAACATGAAAAGTATGTGCATGTACAGCACTCAATACTTAGTTGGGGCTCCTTTTGCCTGGATTACTGCAGCAATGCAGCGTGGCATGGAGTTGATCAGTCTGTGGCACTGCTCAGGTGTTATGAGAGCCCATATTGCATAGCTTCATCTGATTTCATTAGAGAACATAACTTTGGACCACTCAGCAGCAGTCCAGTCCTTTTATCTTTAGCCCAGGCGAGACGCTTCTGACGCTGTCTCTTGTTCAAGAGCAACTTGACACAAGAAATGCGACAACAGAAACCATATCTTGCATACGTCTGTGCGTGGTGGCTCTTGAAGCACTGACTTCAGCTGAAGTCCACTCTGTGAGTCTCCCAAACATTTTGGAATGGGTTTTGTTTCATAATCCTCTCCAGGGTGTGGTTATCCCTATTGCTTGTACACTTTTTTCTACCACATCTTTTCCTTCCCTTCGTCTCTCTATTAATGTGCTTGGACACAGAGCTCTATGAACAGCCAGCCTCTTTAGCAATGACCTTTTGTGTCTTGCCCTCCTTGTGCAAGGTGTCAATGGTTGTCTTTTGGACAACTGTCAAGTCAGCAGTCTTCCCCATGATTGTGTAGCCTACAGAACTAGACTTGAGACCATTTAAAGGCCTTTGCAGGTGTTTTGAGTTCATTAGCTGATTAGAGTGTGGCACCAGGTGTCTTCAGTATTGAACCTTTTCACAATATTCTAATTTTCTGAGATACTGAATTTGGGATTTTCATTAGTTGTCAGTTATAATCATCAACATTAAAAAAATAAACATTTGAAATATATCAGTCTGTGTGTAATGAATGAAAATAATATACAAGTTTAGCTTTTTGAATGGGATTACTGAAATAAATAAACTTTTTCATGATATTCAAATTTTATGACCAGCACCTATGTTTTTATCTTAATAATTTGAAATACAAAGGCATTACCAACTACAAATATAAACAGCTCTTCTTGTATTATTTTCTTTGACATTTCCTAAAAAGATAACAGAGTTCATAGTCGCCACCGAATGCAACTTAACAACAATGTAAGGAAGTTAGAGTAAAGAACAAAGAAAAACTTTTTTTTTATTATTACATAATTTTTCACACTGAGCTATTCTGTGAGATGTTGCTGCATCAAATGG